TCTTCCCCAGCTGGGTGAAGGTGCTGTGGCAGCCTGCGAGGCAGGAGGAAGCAAACAGGATAAAGGAAAATTACCCTCCATCTCCAGGAGCTGAATCAGCTGCGAGACGGGCGCTGAGCTCCCAGCCAGCCACTGGCACCGGCGCTGGGAGAGCAGGATGACTCGCAGTCCCTGCTGCCTGCAGATGACACCAGGCAAGGCAGGCAGCTCGGTGTGACTGGGAAGATGCCTCGTGTTGCCCGTGACAACCCGGGCTCGGCTCTGTTTTCCCTGCACACCCAGACACACGTGCACGTGTTGCCATAACAACCAGCCCGGGGTTTAATTTAGCCGGGACCGCGTTTGGCAGGTTGCACAAGCACGGGAGGCAAACAGCTGCCTCCGGGCTCTGCACCCCTCCGAAAAAAATAGAGCCCCCCAAAAAAAATCAAGAAGGGTAGGTGAAACGTCTGGATTAATTATGTGAAAAGAGTCTCTGTGGGAAAAGAGACTGTGCTGTGCTGGGCTTTGAAACAGTGTGGTAAAAGGGTGACTGGAAGAGCTGGGTTTGGTGTTCCCAGAGCAGGGTTAGATGATGGTGCCAGTGAAGCCACTGGTGTCACCAGGTGACAGTCAGTCACAAATCAAGGGGGAAGGATATGACCTCAGCAGCCTCTGCCCCAACGTGACCCGAAGTGATGGCGTGAGAGCAATCAGAGAGTGGGGGGTGTCAGCAGGGAAGAGCCCTGATTAGCCCCAGGAAGGCCTCACCTGTAAGGACACACTTTGTGTGAGGACCCCAGGTCACCTGGGCCATGGCACTGGGCTCCTGTAACAGGCTTATGCCAATATTCCATGTTTTTCTCTCTGTCTCTGAGTGATGGGGACACTCTGAACAGAATTTTCCAAAAAAAATAAAAGGTGTTTTCTGGCAGTGAAAGGAGAAAGCAAGAGAGGAACAGCTCCCCATGTCCTGGGCTGATCCCATAATGGGGGTAACAGGGGAGGGGGGGATTCTGCCTCTCTGCCCCTCAGCTGAGACCCCCCTGCAGAGCTGCCCCAACACTGGGAACAGCACAGCAAGGACCTGGAGCTGATGGAGAGAGTCCAGAGGAGGCCCCGGAGATGCTCCAGGGCTGGAGCCCCTCTGCTCTGGAGCCAGGCTGGGAGAGCTGGGGGGGTTCCCCTGGAGAAGAGAAGGATCCAGGGACACCTGAGAGCCCCTTGCAGGGCCTAAAGGGGCTCCAGGAGAGCTGGAGAGGGACTGGGGACAAGGGATGGAGGGACAGGACACAGGGAATGGCTTCCCAGTGCCAGAAGGCAGGGAGAGATGGGAGATTGAGAAGGAATTGTTGGCTGTGAGGGTGGGCAGGCCCTGGCACAGGTTGGGCAGAGAAGCTGTGGCTGCCCCTGGATCCCTGGAAGTGTCCAAGGCCAGCTTGGATGGGTCCTGGAGCAACCTGGGCTGGTGGGAGGTGTCCCTGCCCATGGCAGGGAGTGGAACGAGATGGTCTTTAAATTCCCTTCCAGTGCAAACCATCTGTGGTTTGGTTATTCTATGGTCACCAATCTGAATCCAACTCAAACTATAAATGGTATTTATTTTATGGATTAAGGATGGTCTGTATCACCAGAAACTGCCACATTTTGCTCCAAGTGGTGGCTTGCAGGGAAAAGCTTGTGTTGGTCTTGCAGACTCACCTACCCTGAGGGCAGTGAGTGTGATGGGCTGGCACAGCAGAGCTCCTGGGCAGCTTGTCCTCACAGACAGCTCTGTTGGCCAGGCCAGTGCTCCAGAGAGCTGTGACGTTGCAGCTCCTTCCCCAAGGTACAAATTAGCTCATTAAACACTTCGCACGAGACACCCAGGGAGCTGGCAGGGAGGGAGAGGAAATCAAACCCACTCACGCTTTCTCCACCTGCCTTCAAAGCCACGGAACCTTCCTGCAGTGATTCATCCCAAGCTGGAGGCTCCACAGCCCTGCTTTGCCTTTTCCTGGGAGCTGCTCCATGGCCAGGGCCAGGCTGAGATGACAGGGAGCTCTGGAGCTGCAGAGCTGTG